TGCTGGTTTGATTCCCAGTCAGGGCATATGCCTGGGTTGCTGGCCAGGTCCCCAGTGCAGGGTGGGTGAGAGGCAACCACATATTGATGTTTCTCTTCTTCTCTTTCTTTCTCCCTTCCCTCTCTAAAAAATAAATAAATAAAATCTTTAAAAAATGTTTTTAAATCTCTGAATTTTAAAAAACTAAACATGGAACTTCCTTTTGACCCAGTGATTCTGCTGCTGGGACTATACCCTAAGAATCCCAAGTCACCAAATCAAAAGAACACATGCACCCCAGTATTCGTAGTGGCGCTATTTACAATAGCCAAGTGCAGGAAACAACCTAAGTGCCCATCAGTAGATGAACAGACCAAAAAACTGCGGTACATTTACACAATGGAATACCACACAGCAGAAAGAAGGAGCTCCTACCCTTCACAACAGCATGGATGGAACTGGAGAATATTATGCTAAGTGAAATAAGCCAGTTGGTGAAAGACAGATCATTCTGTCTTTCATTCACCTATAGGAGGAATCTAATGAATAAAATAAAATAACAAATCAAATAGATCCACAAGCATGGAAACATGGAATAGACTGAAAATGACCCGAGTGGGTGGAGGAGGGGAATAAATGGTGGAAAGAAGGCAAAGGGACTAGGCAAAAAACATGTATGAATGACCCATGGACGTGACAATGGTGTGGGAACTGACTGTGGGAGCGGGGAGTAGGATGAGTGTAGGAGGGCAAAGGGAGAAAAATCGGGAAAATTGTAATAGAATAACAGTAAAAAAAAAAAGAATTAATAAAAATAAATTATCTTAAATGTAAAACATCAATTTCAAAGAACCTATGCACCACAATGTTCATAGCAGCACAATTTACAATAGCCAAGAGTTGGAAGCAACCTAGGTGCCCATCAGTAAATGAATGGATCAAAAAATTGTGGTACATATACACAATGGAATTCTATGCAGCAGAGAGAAAGAAGGAGCTACTACCCTTTGCAACAACATGGATGGAACTGGAAAGCATTATGCTGAGTTATTGAAATAGGCCAGGTGTTGAAAGACAAATACCATATGATCTCACCTTTGACAGGAAGCTAAAGAATAAAACAAACAAGCAAACAGAATAAAAACAAAGACACTGAAATAGAGAACAAGGGGACAGTGACCAGAGGTGAGAGGGAAGGGAATTTAAAGGTAGAAAAGGGGAGGGATTTTGAGGAACAAGTATGAAAGACACAGAGATGAGGACTGGGGGGGGGGGGGGGGATGGTAGGGAGATGGGGAGACAGGGCCGGGGGGGGGGGGGGGCTGGGATGGGAGAAATAGACAAAAAAAAAACTGTACTTGAAAAATAACTAAATAAAAAATATATTAAAAAATTAATAAAAAAATAAATTATCTTAAATGTAAAAAACAAACCAAAAAAGTCTGAATTGGGTAATGAAGACTGAGAATCATGAGGAAGGGCTAACTAGTCAAGGACGGAAGGCTTCCAGTCAGAGAAAAAGTAGAGAGGCATGCGGGCACAGAGGAGCCAGGGGCAGGTCGGATCATGACAAACCGCGCTGAGCAGTTTGGACTTATCTCCAAGGAGACGAGGACTGGCTCATTCCTCCTCTTCACCTCCTGCACTCATAATGTTGGGGTGTCTCATATATCACCCTTTTGAAACAGGCTGAGCCTGTCTTAAACAGAAGGAAATGCTCTTCGGTTGTGTTTTTAAGCCTCTCCTGGATAAGTTTAAAGTTTCTCTTCAGGTGCTCCCCAACAGCTGCGCTCTGCACTTGTCTAAAGAACCCAGCCCTCTATGTGGCAGAACCTGGCAGCAGTTCAGGGAGCCATACTGTTCTTAGTGTGTGCTCCCTTGATGCATCAAGCTCCCTCCTTGTTTTCAGTAAACATCTTCTTTTGAATGTTTCACCTTAAAACATTTTTTGATTGATTTTAAGAAATAGAGATAGAAACATTGATTTGTTGTTCCACTTATTTTTATGCATTCACTGGTTGCTTCTAGTATTTGCACTGACCAGAGGTCAAACCTCCAACCTCGGCATCTTGGGACGCTGCTCTAAACAACTGAGCTACCTGGCTGGGGCTTACCTCTTCTCTTGATTTCTATCTTGAGGAGGGGTAAGAACCCCTTCACCAATGGCATTTTCATTTGTTCTCTACAGCTTTCATTCTTTCATCCATTCTCAGTGCTGTGAGCACACATAGTTACATCCCCGGACTCATATTTGTACAAAGCTGCAAAGAGCTGAGGAAGGAAACTGGTGTCAGGCTTTACCCACTAGGGTCTGATTTTTGGGTTCATGAAGTTGGAAACTACTTTATCAGTTCTCTATTCTCCTCATCCTCATTAGACAATAGTGTTTTTTTTTATTTTATTGATTATGCCATTACAGTTGCTCTATTCCCCCTTCATTCCCCTCCACCCTGCACCCCTGCCCCCACCATACCCCCCTTTAGTTTATGACCATGTGTCTCAAGTTCTTTAGATTCTATATTTCCCATACTATTCTTGCCCCCCCATCTATTTTCTACCTACCATCTATGCTACTTATTTTCTGTACCTTCTCCCCCCTTCTCCTCTTCCCACTCCCCTGTTGCTAACCCTCTATGAGATCTTCATTTCTATGTTTCTGCTCCTGATCTAGCTGTCCTTTTAGTTTGTTTTTGTTTTAGGTGTAGTTGTTAATAACTGTGAGTTTGCTGTCCTTTCACTGTTCATCTTTTTTATCTTCTTTTTCTTAGATAAGTCCCTTTAACATTTCATATGAGAAGGGCTTGGTGAATTTGATTTTATCTGAGAAGCACTTTATCTGCCCTTCCATTCTAAATGAAAGTTTTGCTCGATAGAGTAATCTTGGTTATAGGTCTTTGGATTTCATGACTTGGAATACTTCTTTCCAGCCCCTTCTTGCCTGGAAGGTCTCTTTTGAGAAATCTGCTGACAGTCTGATGGGAACTCCTTTGTAGGTGACTGTCCCCTTATCTCTTGCTGCTTCTAGGATTCTCTCCTTCATTTTCATCTTGGCTAATGTAATTATGATGTGCCTTGGTGTGTTTCTTCTTGGGTCCAACTTCTTTGGGACTCTCTGAGCTTCCTGGATTTCCTGGAAGTCTATTTCCTTTGCCAGATTGGGGAAATTCTCCTTTATTATTTGTTCAAATAAGTTTTCCACTGGTGGCTGTTCCTTTCCTCCTTCTGGTAGCCCTATAATTCAGATGTTGGAGTGTTGACAGATGTCCTGGAGGTTCCCAAGTCTCTCCTTATTTTTTTGAATTCTTGTTTCTTCATATTTTCCTGTTTGGCCCTTTTTTTCTTCCTTCTGGTTCACTCCCTTGATTTGAGTCCCAGTTTCCTTTTCATCACTATTGGTTTCCTATGCAATTCCTTTCATTTCAATTAGTTTAGCCTTTATGTGTTCCTCTAATTTGTGACTAAAGATTTATCAAGGGTTTAGTGTTTATAAACTAGGAACACAACTAGGCAAAACCTAGATTGTTTTGGAAAAAAAAAGAAAAGCTAAGAGTTCTTATAAAGTGTATTTTTAAGAAGAATCAGTCCTGCATTCTTAGCCTCTGGCCTGGTCTGAGATGGAAATCCTCTAGATGACTGGTGGTCTGGCTCCTGTGTATCAGGTGGTCTGGATATGTGAATATTTTTCCCTTAGTCCTTCAGGAGGTTATCAGAGGGTTATCTGGAAGTTTGATGTGTATCCAGGAACTGATAGTTCAAACGTTTAAGTTCCCAGACTAGTTAAAAAAACAACAGCCATTTCTTCATGCCTCAACCTATTTTAGTCATTTTTAGCAGCTTGAATAGAGAATGACTCCATTTCTTCCCTCTTTCCTCAGTAGAAAATCAGCTTGTACTAACTAAATATACAAAGGCTTGTGGGTAAATGAAAAGCCAATTTACTAATTATAGGTTTATTGACTTATTTATTTTGCCTGTTTGCTGTTTTTAAAAACGTATTGGTTTTGATTCTGATTATAAAAATAATGCATGTTCATCATAGGGTTTAAAAAATCAGGAAAGTATGGACAAAATAAAAATCACCTACATCACTTCTATAATAACCAATAACACTTCATATCTACCTTCCTCTATTTGTGTGGGTATAATTCTAACAATATTGGGATCATACTGTATATACTTTTGTATCCCATTTTCTCTTTTTATATGGTAAGCATTTGGGGGAAAGTCTTTCTTACATTGGCACTTCCTAGAATATACCTTATTTTTTACTATCTGGAGCCTCCGTTTCCAGTATCAAGGTCCACTATCAGAAATTTGCTTAGATGAGCATGAAATCAGAGCAAAACCGAAAAATAACAGTAACTTAAAAAATCAGGTAATTTTATCAAAAAGAACAGTAGATTCCTAGGTTACTGGGGCCATAAGCCCCCTAGCCTTTCATACTTGGTCTCCAGGGTAGCGGTTCAGGGGCCAGGAGACCGCAGGTGGAGGCCCAGGGTCAAGTCTGTGGTCTAGTCCCTGGGACAGGCGTTCCATTGGGCAGAGCCCACCCGACAAAATGACTGCGGCTGCTTACTGGGTGTCTGGCAGGCATAAGCAAGAGAAGGTGTCTCAGGCCAGCCGCACTGAGTCAAAGTGGTGGAAAATAGGCCATTTTCCGGGATCTCGCTCTGGCCTTCGGCCCTGAACCCGCCACCTAAGGCAGGAGCAGTCTCAGGAGGGTGGCGACCAGTCCATGGCGGGGGCCAGAGCAGAGCCGGTGCCTCCACTTTTCGGGGATGGAAGTTCGGGGGTCCCACTTCTCTAAAGGCCTAGCCTCGGGCTCTCCGCCGGCCTTCCCTGCCATCCCCGCCATCCCCCGCGAGCAGGCAGGGAGAGTACTCTGCACCGCCCGACTCGCCGACCCCTGCAGACCTGCCACCGCTTTAAGTCAAAATGGCGCCGCAGGCCACTGGGAGGGAAAAGTTCCCGCAAACCCCGCCCCAGGCCCCGCCCCCTGCCCCACCGTCTGACCGCTTTCTGCACCGCTGGCAGGCGGGGTAGCTGCTCACTGGCGCTCGGGAGCCATGGTTGTGGGGTCGGCGAGGACCTGGGCTGTGCTCAGCCCGCTTCTTTGGGGCTGCGGGCTGGCGCTGCAGGGCGGGATGCTGTACCCCCAGGAGAGCGAGTCGCGGGAGCGCAAGGAGCTCAACGGCCTCTGGAGCTTCCGCGCCGACCTCTCCGACAATCGGCGCCAGGGCTTCGAGCAGCAGTGGTACAGCGCGCCGCTGCGCGAGGTGCGGGTTCCAAGAGCAGGGGTGATGAGGTCTGGGCAAGGGCGCTCCTAGAAGCCCTGTGCGGAGCGTGGAAGCCCTGCCCTCGGAGCCGCAGGCCTGGAGGTGGTTAGAGGGCTCGGCAGCGTGCGGTGGGGGCGGGGGTGGGGGCGTCTGCGGAACCGGAAGGAGGGTGTGGGTGGAGGTCGGCTGGAGACCCAACGCCTGCGGGGCGGGCGCCCACCCACCCTGGGGCCGGGAAGGGCCCTACTCAAACCTGGTCCAATGGGTAGGCTGAGCCTGAGCAGGGTCCACAGCACCGAGCTGGGCAGGCAGCGGGAGGAGGGCAAGCTTGACGCAATTTGGGACTAGCTCTGCCCTGGCAGGCATGACATTGGGTTCCAGGTTCAGGAGTAGATCGGGGCTTGGCACCCAGGCAGCTAAGGACGTCACTTCAGGTCTCACCTCTGATTTGGGTCAAGTCTGAGAAGTGGGGCCGCCAGCCTCTCCTAGATCCTTTTTTTTTTGGTCTTTGCTGCCCAAGATTCAGCAGAGAATGGAAGAAAGGAAGGGGATGGGCCCTGGGTGCTAGGCATGTGCTCCACTCAACAGTTTCCTCAGTAAAGCAGCCTGTGCGTGACCAGCCTTCCTCTTTGGGGCATCAGTTGATCATCTTCCTCTTAGTCATCTTCCTGTTAGCCAGGTCTCTCCTGATCCTTCTCCTTTCTTTAAGGCTGCATGTGGCCCTGCGCTCACCTCTTTTCCTGGAGACCCTGGTTGCTGGTTGCCTTGAGAAAGAACCTCTGGCCCCACCAGTCCTTGGACATAACCCTAGCAGTCTATCTCTCATCAGCAAGTTATACATTCATTCAGCCCATATGTATCATATTCCTACCATGTGCCAGGGCTTGTGTCAGAGGCTGGGGATGCAGCTCTGAAGAACAGAGGAAATCCCCTCCTTAGACGTCAGTGCCCCACATACAAGATGTCTTTAGGAAAGCCAGACTGTTTCCAGACCCACTGAACTATCTGCCTCACTCCTGTTTGCCTTCTGCCTGAGGTGTTCAAGGGATTCCATGAGGGGCTCAGGTTCACTCAGTTCTGCCAGGCTGTCCTGAGGCAGTATCCCATGGGCCTGGCCCCTTTCACTCTCCACACTTTAGTAAGAGCTGATCACCTGACAGCAGAGGCATGTTCACCATTTTATTCCAAGCATCTGGAACAGCATTCATTGTAGGTGTTCATTGTACACTGTCCATTGAATGAGTAACATAACGGATGTGTACTTCGTGGAGATGTGAGAATTAAATGAGCTCCGTGAAAGGCATTGGTCAGTTGCTGGCAAAGATTAACAGCGGTGGAGTGGCCAGAATTCCTGGGTCTGGAGAAGCCTTCCTGCAGGCAGGGTTGCTGGGGAACCTGGCCTCTTAGGAAAGGGGGCCGCCTGGGCCCTGGTCTTAGATTTCTAGGTGGTCTGGTTCTGATCCTGGCCCTTCTTTTCCCAGTCCGGCCCTACCCTGGACATGCCTGTTCCCTCCAGCTTCAATGACGTGGGTCAGGATCAGCAGCTACGCGGATTTGTCGGCTGGGTGTGGTACGAACGGGAGGCGACCCTGCCCCAGCGATGGACCCAGGACCTGGACACAAGAGTGGTGCTGAGAATTGGCAGCGCCCACTACTATGCCATTGTGGTCAGTGCAGTGAGCAGCAAGCGGGGGCGAGTGGGCAGGTGCAGCTGCTGAGCACTTGTAGGGTTGCCTTGGGGTGCTTGGCTCCCCGCTGTCATCTGACAGCCTGTCTTCTGGGGTGGATGGCAGGGAATGCTTGTTCCCCACACTGGGGTTTGTGCCCTGGGTTGGGGAGGGTTGCCTAATCTTCTTTGGAGTGCCATTCCTCCCATCAGGCCCATGAGGCAGGCAGCAGCTGGCAGGGCGTCTGTGTGAAGGAATGCATGAGATGGCATTGCCCCTTATACCCTGGCCTGCTGCCCCCGCCCCCATAAACCCTATTTGTCTGCAGTGGGTGAATGGGGTCCATGTGGCAGAGCACGAGGGGGGCCATCTTCCGTTCGAGGCTGACATCAGCAAGCTGGTCCAGAGTGGGCCCCTGTCCTCCTGCCGCATTACCATCGCCATCAACAACACACTGACCCCCCATACCCTGCCACCAGGGAACATCATCTACAAGACGGATACCTCCAAGTGAGCAGCACCCTGCTACCCCATCGCAGTCCCTACCCTGCCCAGAGGTCTTTCCGCTGGGGGCAGGGTAGCCTTAGCAGAGGTGAGGTCGAAGGCCTCAGGGCAAGGCCCCAGCTGGCCATTGTCCTCCCACTTTAGGTACCCTAAGGGTTACTTCGTCCAGAACACAAACTTTGACTTCTTCAACTACGCGGGACTGCATCGGCCTGTGCTCCTCTACACGACGCCCACCACCTACATTGATGACATCACCGTCACCACCAACGTGGACCAAGACACCGGTGAGGGCTCCCAGCAGGATCTGCCCTCGGCCAGGCCCAAGGTGGCTCTGTTCCCTGTTTAGAAAGATGTCTTGGGAGAAAGGCTCTTCCAGCATCTCTTAACCCTCACAGGTCCCCATCTACCTAAGAAGCTAAACTCCAGCCCATGTAAGCTGGCAAGGGCTTCCAAAATACCCCTCTTTAATGGGTACCTCATTTTATTGGGAAATAAGGCCCAATGAGAAGTGGGGCTTACCTAAAATCTCGTCACTCGGGATAGGTGGTGACTCTGTTCTTTCTGCACTGTGCACCCTCCGTCTCTCCTCACTGCAGATCCAGCTCAAGAAATAACAATTGGTGGGGTCTCAGGGCCAGAGAGGACTCAGAGTGGTAGCTTCAAGGTCTTCTCCTCTGTATGACTCAGAGCACATCCTTCTGTCTGATCTCTCTGGTCTCCCACAGGGCTGGTGTATTACCAGATTTTCATCCAGGGCAGTGACCACTTCCAGCTAGAAGTGTATCTTCTAGATGAGGAAGGCAAAGTCGTAGCCCAGGGGACTGGAGGACAGGGCCAGCTGCGGGTGCCCGGTGCCCACCTTTGGTGGCCATACCTGATGCATGAACACCCTGCCTACCTGTACTCGTTGAAGGTAATGGTGGTTAAGACTGGGGCTATGGGAGGCCTTTTGCCCCATCCAGCAGCCCTCCCTGGCTTTAGCATGGGTGCAGGCCAGGCGGGCAGGTAGGCACGGACCTCTGAGCTTCCTAGTCAGTTGCACTGAAGTGTTTCCAGCCTGGTGTTTTTCAGTCCTTGGTGGGGCAGCCCAGATTTGAAGAGCACACCCCATGGGCAGGGTGGGTGTCTCCTTGCTAATGGCAGAAACCTGTAATTTCTCAGTCTCTCTGCTTGTGTCCCTGAAGTGGGCCACTGTGGCATACAAGGGGGCCTTCCTGCGGATAGGCGGGCTGTGGGGGACTCAGGCCATGAAGGGCACCTCACACCAGTGCTTGGCTCTCCAGGTGAAGCTGACTGCACAGACGGCAGCTGGGCCTGTGTCTGACTTCTACACTTTGCCCGTGGGGATTCGCACTGTGGCTGTCACAAAGAACCAGTTCCTCATTAACGGGAAACCTTTCTATTTCCATGGGGTCAACAAACATGAGGATGCCGACGTGAGTTGGGGCTCCTGTATAACTGTGGGGGGCTGCTTCTCATCCTTCCCTTCCCCGTGCCCCCGAGCGGTTGAGAGCAGCTCAGAGCAGTTCAACCAACTGCTCAGAACTGCTGCCTGATGGGCCCTGTGCTTGTCTGGATAGAGGGTGATGGGCCCAGGTCTAGGAGGAAACGCATCTGGGGCAGGGGGCAGTGGTCATGTTACTCTGTTGTCCCCTAGATCCGAGGGAAGGGCTTTGACTGGCCACTGCTGGTGAAGGACTTCAACCTGCTTCTGTGGCTTGGTGCCAATGCCTTCCGTACCAGCCACTACCCCTACGCGGAGGAGGTGATGCAGCTCTGTGACCAGTATGGGATTGTGGTCATCGATGAGAGCCCTGGTGTGGGCATCAAGCTGATGTGAGTGCCCACTGCCCATGCTGCTCAGCCCGCCACCTGGGCAGGCCATAATATGCTTCCTTTTCTTCCCCACCCCATAGCGAGAGCTACAGCAATGTATCTCTGCAGCACCATCTGGAGGTGATGGAGGAGCTGGTACAGAGGGACAAGAATCACCCAGCTGTTGTCATGTGGTCTGTAGCCAATGAACCCAGTTCCTTCCTGCAACCTGCAGGTTACTACTTCAAGTGAGTGCCCCCGCTTGCCCTGGCCTGGGTCAGGGCAGAGACTCTCCTTCGGCCCAGCTCAGCCTTGGCTGGCAGCCTTTGGAGAACTGAGGTCTCCCTGAGGCACGTATGTTGTGCTAGAGTCAGCATCCAGCTCCCAGCCCAGACCTAAGAGTGCAACCAGATCTGGTCAGTTCAGGGGACCAGGTACCTACCCAGCTAAGCTCTGATTTCAGCCAAGTGAGACTCAGTGCCCACTTTTCACACCTTAAATGACACGCAGAGGTAACCTCTAACCTATAACTTCAAATTAAGAAAAAAATAGTGGCATGGCCTAACTGTGATAGGAAGGAGAGTCATTGATAAAATACTCCATGAATGCAGGGGCCTGACTCCCCAGAAGACCAAGCGCAGGGGTCGGATGCTTGCACCTAGTTCCGGACTCCTGTGGAAGCATAGCTTCTAAAGCTGACGGCGGTGATACCACAAACAGTGGTATGCAATTCAGTGCCATGCAGTTCCGCAGTGGTGAACCGCCCCAGGTGAAGTGCTGAATAAAACTAGGTATACTCTTCCCTCACTTTTTTTTTTTTTTCTTTTCTCACTTTTAATGGTATCTCCATTCCTGGGAAATTTAGGGTATGATAAAACTTCAAAAACACTCCGTGTGTGGTGCCTTGGTTTCATCTGTAAAGTGGAGTCAGGCTTCATAATACCAGCTTATCTGCCCACATAATTAGAAACAGGTTTTTCACAACATGCATATCCTGACTATTCTACAGTTCCATTATGGGGCAGGAGTAGCCCATCTACATACAGTTCCTGGTTCCGGTAGCTCCTTCCTCCCTGATCTCCCCCACTCCCCTGCCCCTGTGTTGCAATGGAAATAAACACCACTTGGGGGCAGTGTTTCGGCAGTGGGAGAGTGGAACTCTGCCCCACCCCCAGCCCAGTGTTTCCCTAGGTTCCTTCTCTCCAGTCCTGCCGAGGAGTGAATTAATTCTCCTCCAGTCCTGCTGAGGAGAATTAATTCACTTACTGCCTGAGGTCATCAAAACACTGCCCTGAGGCACACTACTTGCAAGTTTCACAGAGTGCTTTGAGCTGAGCCACGTCTGTAGAAGGCTCTAGGAGTGGGGCACAATGACCCACAGCTCAGAGCACGCAGCCCCAGAGTGCATGGGGCGCAGGGGTATGTCAGGCCAGGGCTGGTGAACAGCGCTTTGTTGCAAGGGTGAAAGGAGTATATGTAGGCTCCCAGGAATGGGTGCCCGAGGTGCCAGGTGGGCTCCTTTGGGAGGTGGAAAGAGGGAGATACATTATTTTTGGAGCCACAGGGATGGGGGCAGGACCTGGATATGGTTGCCTGGGCTAGAGGAGCTCAGCTAGGCTCTGAAGCTCCCGGGTGACGACCAGGCTGTTTCAGAGTGTGGGCTGCAGAACTAAGTGTAGGGGGTGCCTGTTCTGGCCTATGGAGACCACCGCCTTAGAATGAGGAGAGCGGTTACGGGGAGAGGGGGTCACTAGCTGTGAGGAAGAGGAGAGGAAAATAGGCTTACGCAATGATTGAGGGTGTCCTGGACTGACAGCTTCCTCAGCTGGGCAGCCTCTTGTCCTTCCTCCTCGGTTAATGAGATTCAGCACTAATGCCACTTCTTCTATTGGCTGTCAGCGACTCTCCACTGTCAGTTATGTGTCCTGTTACTGTCTCCTGGAACTCGCTTTCCTGCCACCACTTGTAGTTGCAGTTTCTGACATATGCAAGTGTCCCTGCTCCCCCTGCTCTGTGAAGCTGGGGGGCGTAGCTGTTGAAGGCCCTGGAGCCCGCCACACACACAGTACACACCCTGCCCCCTAACATGACTTCCCTAATGATTTGTTCAGTTAACGTCCACCCTAATCCACGCGCCCCATCCGCTCCTGCTTTTGAAGGCTCTTTCAGAGATTTAGAACCAAGTTGGGGCAGTGCCCAGCCCAAGGACCTCGGCTCTGTGCCTGCTTTTCCCTGTGAGGTGGCCTCTTTTGGGGGCGGGATGTAGGATTTGGGGAGGGAGAAGGAGTGGTGTCCAGACATGATCGCAGACTAGAGGATCATGGGTGCTTACCTAAAATACTCTTGGAGATAGGAGAGCAGTGGTGGTGTTTTTGGTGGGGGCTGGGAGGGAGGGGCTGAAAAGTGGCCATGATCGCCCCTCCCGGCCTGACAGGAGCCCTGCCTTCTGCCCTCTGTGGACAGGATGCTGATCGCCCACACAAAAGCCTTGGACCCCACCCGGCCTGTGACCTTTGTGTCCAACTCCGACTTTGACGCAGACCTGGGGGTAAGCCTGGGGAGTCCCCGCATCACTGTCATCCCCTCCACCCTGTCTTTGAGTCCTGCCTTCAGCTCCGACGAACACTCTTGGGTCTGAGCCTCCTGGTGCAGGCCCCCAGTCAGCGGGAACACCCAGCATGGTGTGAGCCTTATGGTGCCGGGCCTCGGGGCTTTGGGGAAACTTGTACAGCAGGATCCTCCTGGGCAGGAGGGGAGCTCCCGGGCCAGTGTGACTGGAAGAACCAGGAGCTGCCAGTGCAGCATTTTCATAGATGGTCTCTAGGTTGAAGATAACTACCTGCCTATTCACCAGGCAGAGTGGCTTCCTAAGTCCGAGGAGTCTGAGCCCAGGGATATTCAATTTGTTCTCGGTCCAGAGTCTACATGCGTGGGTTTAATTTTGCACGCCTCAGGGTATTGTGCTCGTTAAAGAGCAAAGGTCTAAGGGAATGTAAAGTTGACATTGTATGGTGCTTCTCAAACCTGGCCAATCGTCAGAACCACTATGAACAGCTTTTTGCAAGTGCAGATGTCTGGATGTTGAGATCCTGATTTAGTCAGCCCAGGGTGGGAATTGAGTTTTTTAAAAGCTCTTCGGTGATTCCAGGCACCCACCCGCTTTGGGAGCCACTGACCAGGTCCCTGTTGGGAAGGGGCACGCTCCCACAGCTGGCTGGGCCACACGGCCTCCCTCGCTGCCCCTCCCACAGCTGCCCCTCAGGGACGATGCCTTCAGTTGTCTTGAGGCTGAAAAACGGGAGCAAAGAAAATGTTCCTTCTCTGGAGAGCAAGGCCAGTACTTAGGAGAAAAGTGCTACAGAGAGAGAAATCATCTGAAGAGAGAACAAAAGAAACACTATATACAAATGCAAATTAGGAACACTCCTTTTAGCACGAATGCAGAAAAGCATGGAGCCCTGGTGCTCCCTTGCTGTCTCTGAGAACACCCCTTCAAAGAAATGCAAAGACAGTGTTAAAACACCAGCATGGCACGAGGACACCCTGTGTGTTCTCAAGGCCAAGTGGTATCTCCTGGTCTAGTCCCTCTTGTGCACAGGGAAGCCTGTGCTTGACCTTGGGAAGTTGCAAGGCTCATCTGGCGGGATGTGTGAATTATTCATGTACATGTGTCTACCCAGAGGTCCCTCCCCCAGCGCCTTCCTCCTGTCTGCATTTTTCTTGCACCACAGTTGGGAGGGGCCATAGTCATTTGGGAAAGACAGGCCCCATCAGTACCAGTGCAGGCTCTGGAGGCGAACCATGTTCAACTGATGTTAAAGACTAGACACTGGGCTGTCTGGTCTCTGCCACTGCATCCTGAGCATTGCATTGTTTAGACTCAAGCAGCCCTGCCCCATCGTCTTGGCTGCCCTGCTATGGGGGGATTTTACAGCCTCTTTATAGCCCACTGCGCTAGCCCCGTAATGGTATGGTGAATCGGGATTCTTTGTGAGGAGAAAAACTGCACCTCTCCCTCAGTTGGGAACATTCTTTCAGGGCTGGGTGAGGGAAGACCAGTAACAGGAGCACTCCCTGGGGAGCAGCGAGGCCAGCTCTCTGGGTGCCTGCCCTGCCTCAGCCCTCCACGGAGCTGCGGCCGGGTCAGTCATGTCAGTCCACGGTTGTGGACTTGCTCCTTTCAGGTCACTTTTTGACTATGTGTCTTACACACGTAAGCATCGAACTCATTTTCTGGATGACCCTTCTTACCTGCTCCGCCAGAAGAGCCCCCCGAGTGTGAGTTGTAACACGGCTACACAGTGTTCTGGTTCGCAAACAAGCTTTAACGCTCTTGTCCTAGGCGCCATACGTGGACGTCATCTGTGTCAATAGTTACTTCTCCTGGTATCACGACTACGGGCACCTGGAGGTGATTCCGCTGCAGCTGGCCACCCACCTTGAGGACTGGTACAGGACCTATCAGAAGCCAATTATTCAGAGCGAGTATGGAGCAGACTCCATTGCAGCATTTCACCACGTAAGTTGTGCGGGGCGTTATTTTTTTCACTCTCTCGGGCAGTGGTGTCATTGCCCCGAGTTAGAGACGTACCTTCTTCCTGGTCCCTCACACCTCCCCGCACTTCTCCACTCACTCAGCCTGTCCCTCCACACACTTAACTGCCTCCGACTCAGGCCTCTCCTACTTTGCTTTGTCCTTAGAGGCAGCCTCTTTTCTTTTGGAATTTTTTAATCCTCACTGGAGGACGATGTGCCCATTGATCCTACGGAGGGTAAGGGAAGGGACAGAGAAACATCGGTCTGTTGCCTCTTGAATGTGCCCTGATCAGGGATTGAACCCACTACCTTCAGTATATGCTCTGACCGGGGACTGAACCTGAACCTTAAGGTATAGAGGACAACACTCAACCCATGGAGACACCCAGCCAGGGCCCTCAGAGGCAGCCTCTTCATTAGCTTATTGGCTTCCTTATGCCTGGAATGCCCTCATTAGCACCACAGTTGCCAATGAATGGATTCTTATTGTGTGCTCAATTCTCAGCTTAGATATTCCCTCTTTGGTGAGGTTTACGCGGTCTGCCCAGCCAGAGGAATCCGTTCCCTCTGCCTGGTCTCTGTCTGGGTACTTCTTACTGCACACTGCCCTTATCCCCTCGGCTCTCTCCTTGACCAGACTATGGGCTCTAGGAAGGAGACTGAACCTTATGATGGTTGCTTCCCAAGCACCCAGTGGCGGCCAGCACACATGGGTGCAGAACAATATTCAATAAGGGAGTGAGATCGACCTTGGAGCAAGTTTTAGTCACTAGTTTTCTTCTCATTGTTTTGTCCATTTCCTTACCAAAGATACGCTGCTTTGTCTTGTGGGAATTTTTTTCATGTGGATTCTTGAACCACAGCCAAGTCTTCATCTGCACCGCAGCCACCTTACCCTTGTCTGTCGCAGCTGCTGGGATTCTTTGTTGACACACGTTTCTTAATGTGCTGATTCTTGGTATGGTGAACAGCTGCCCGCATGGGCTATATTGTGTTCACACCGGTAAATTCATCTTGTTTACACAGAATGCCAGGTCTACAAACTGGTGAAGAGGGGAGATAGCTTCTGGAGACAATGTACATGCACATTTGTTCTCCCTCTTTGAAAAGGTAGCAAACTCAGAATTTTTTTTTAAGTTTTATTTTATTGATTATGCCATTACAGTTGTTCTATTCCCTGCTTCATTCCCCTCCACCCTGCACTCCCCCTCCCCTACCATTCCCCCCCTTTAGTTTATGACCACGTGTCTCAAGTTCTTTGGATTCTATATTTCCCATACTACTCTTGCCCTCCCCCTATCTATTTTCTACCTACCATCCATGCTACTTATTTTCTGTACCTTCTCCCCCCTTCTTCTCCCACTCACCTGTTGCTAACCCTCCGTGTGATCTTTATTTCTATGGTTCTTCTCCTGATCTAGCTGTCCTCTTAGCTTGCTTTTGTTTTAGATGTGGTTGTTAATAACTGTGAGTTTGCTGTCCTTTCACTGTTCATCTTTTTTATCTTCTTTTTCTTAGATAAGTCCCTTTAACATTTCATATGAGAAGGGCTTGGTGATGATGAACTCCTTGAATTTGATCTTATCTAAGAAGCACTTTATCTGCCCTTCCATTCTAAATGAAAGTTTTGCTGGATAGAGCAATCTTGGTTGTAGGTCTTTGGATTTCATGACTTGGAATACCTCTTTCCAGCCCCTTCTTGCCTGTAAGGTCTCTTTTGAGAAATCAGCTGACAGTCTGATGGGGACTCCTTTGTTAGGGGACTGTCCCCTTATCTCTTGCTACTTCTATGATTCTCTCCTTCATTTTAATCTTGGCTAATGTAATTATGATGTGCCTTGGTGTGTTTCTTCTTGGGTCCAACTTCTTTGGGACTGTCTGAGCTTCCTGGATTTCCTGGAAGTCTATATTTCCTTTGCCAGATTGGGGAAATTCTCCTTTATTATTTGTTCAAATAAGTCTTCCACTGGTGGCTGTTCCTTTCCCCCTTCTGGTACCCCTATAATTCAGATGTTGGAGCGTTTAAAGATGTCCTGGAGGTTCCTAAGTCTCTCCTTATTTTTTTTAAATTCTTGTTTCTTCATTCTTTTCTGGTTGGTCATTTTTATCCTCCTTCTTGTCCACTCCATTGATTTGAGTCCGTTTCCTTTTCATAACTATTGGTTTCCTGTGCATTTCCATTCATTTCAATTAGTTTAGCCTTCATATGTTCTTCTAATTTGTGACTAAAATCAACCAGTTCTGTGAGCACCCTGATCACCAGTGTTTTGAACTGTGCATTTGAAAGTTTTGCTTTTCTTCGTCGCTTAGATTTATGGGCTCTGGGGCTTTGAGATCTTCTTGAGCCATTAAGTATGAGGAGTGGAGCCTTAGGGGCGGGGTGGGGCCTCCAGGGTGGGGTCACAGGGTTGTGATGCTATATGTGGTGGCAGGGTCAGAGTGGGGACATGGTGTCCCCCTCTCCTGCTTCCCGCCGCTGGGTGAGGAGCGAAGCCTTAGGTGTTCACCAGGGTAGGGTCGCTCAGGCTGCTGGATTGTGACGCAGTATATGGGGTCGGGGTCAGAGCCGGGAAATGGCAGCCGTCTCCGCTGTCCCCCGTCGCTGGGACCCGTCTGGTCCCATCTCACTGCCCACTCCCTCGCTGGTCTATCTGCGTAGGAATGTGCCAGCACAGTCAACCCGCTGCCCTTCACCCTCACCGGATCTGCTGGTCGCTCACTGGGTCATTCACTGGGTCGGCCCTTTGCAACCCCACGCCTGAGATCTGTGCATCTGAGTCCGTCTGACCGAGTTTTCCTGTGTAACCCCGCTCCGCCAGCTGCTGGTTTCGCCCCTTACCGGTCAGATTGAAGAATTCGTTGTTATCGGACTTCTGAAAAGTTCAATTTTCTGTGTTCTGGCTGTGTTTTCTGTTGCTTATATTTTGTTGTCTCTAAACTTGGTTGTGTGAGAAAGCACGGCATCTCCACCTATGTCTCCATCTTGGCGGAAGTCCCCTCCAGAATTTTTAAGAAACTCTGAGTCTCGGTTAGCGCTGTCTGCTAAAAGCTCACACTGTCCAAGAGGGTAGCTGTTTGCCACACATGGTGATTGGAGACTTGGAATGCGATTAGTTTCACTGAGCTGATTTGGTTAATTTAGTTTTAAGTTTAAATGGCCATGTATGACTAGTATTAGATAATGCAGGGTCATTTCTACTAAAACAACATCTACATCATGCCCTCATATTCAACTTTGGAACTAGAACAAAGCTTGGCTTAATTGTGCGGTTTTCAGTGCCCCTTATATAGCATTTGATCCTTCTCACTGGAAAAGAAAGGCGAGCCAGTAGGGTTTTGTTCTCTCACAAATGACTGGACTCCAGCATCCCTCAGCATCTGCGTTGAGCTCCCCCAAATTCCCATGAGATGAAAACTCAGACCCACGTGCATCTGAAAGACCTTGTGTCTTCGTGCAGAACCCACAGGAGCTCTTCACCAAATATGGGGTGAATCTGCAGGGGCTGCCTCCTGCTGCTGTTGTGGATGGCCTGCTCCTTACCCGGCAGGCCTCAGCTCAGAGGTTTCCTTGGGGACCTTTCTGTGGCCTCATGTCAGTGAGCTCCTTCTGCTAAGTATCCCCCTGGCTCCTGCTTTGCACTCCCTCAACTCATGACACTCCAGCTCGTGTCTTTCTTGCTGGCTTGTGAAGGCTGTGCCAGCAGGGACACTTTTCTTTCTTGTTCTCCACTCTCTCTAATGCCTGTTATATTTGGGGCCGAGCAGCAGCTACTTCCCCAGACCAGAGACAGATGAATCTGAGGTGACTTAAATTTGAGTCACACTAGTTCTCAGACTGTGTGGTGGCAGCTACTTAAGACTTGAGTTTTAAATTTATTGTATCCAGAGACATTTTTACGTTCAGTGTAATTCAGCTGGTGAATAGAGATGGAAAACTAAGATAAAGCAAGTATCGGATTATATCGCTAGAGCAGTTACTAATTAAGGTTTAAGAAAAGCTCCTTTTTCAACTCTGGGCTCCGTCATACCCCGCCTGTGTCTCCGCAGCAGCACCAGCGAGTCCCGCAGGCACGGCAGCCCACCCCGAGGACAGATATTTTGGTCCTCGTCACATGGATCTTATTTTTATTTGACATTTACAATTCTGTCAGTTCTGGCTCTTCCATTCTCCCTTTACCTTGAATTCCAGGACCCGCCGCTGATGTTCAGTGAAGAGTACCAGAAAAGTCTGCTGGAACAGTATCACTTGGTTCTGGATCAAAAACGCAAAGAATATGTGGTTGGAGAGCTCATCTGGAACTTTGCTGATTTTATGACTGACCAGTGTAAGTGGCATTTTGGTTTATGGAATGTACCATTACTGAGTTTTTCAGATTGGTCTTTCAGCTCAGGACACTTGGTTGTAAGAACACAGCAAACAGGAGCGGGGGAGCTTATCTAACCAAGAGCATTACCTAGGAAAAGTAAGGTGCGCTTAGCAAGCAGTAATCGCTTGCCTGCTTCCCCAGTCATTTTATGGTAAAAAAGAAAACGGGAAAGCCTACTATCTTGGGGCAGAATGGCTAACTCGCCGGGTCTTCCCAACAGTACAAGGAACAAGTGGACGTGGTGGTACACACTCATTATTCCAGAGTAGGGTGCAAGCCTGAGAAATGTGCACTTGTTATTCACGTGAGCAGGGCCGGTCCACTGAGTACAGGAAAATGTCAAAGCATTTTGAAGGTGGGCGTTTTTAAAAGTCTCCCGAGAGAATACCATCTGTGCTCGTTCTCAAGTGTGGAGAGACTAGGACGACCACAGATGACTAGTTACTTGATACACCATAAACTCAGGATGGCAGTTTGGGATGTGGGAAGGACTTGGCAGTAGTGGGCATTAGGATACAGGTCTCTGGGAGGTTAATTTATTTAAAAATTAGAGTGGAAAGTGGTAAACAGAAGAAAGAATGAGAACATGAGCCCCTACTCTGCTGGGCAAATAAGATTAGTGGCTTCTGGAAATGTCCTGGGTGGCAATCTAGCTTCCCAAGGAGCTGCACCAGCTTCGTGTTAGCTTTGAGAAATTACCTTTGTGACCTTGGCCAAGTTTCCGTAAACCTGTAAGTGCAGATAACACCTGCCACCTTGCAGATGACATAAGGATTCTATTTAATGAAGTGCTTGGTACAGTGGCTGGCATTTGCTTATCACAGAGGAAGTTACTATTGTCTTGAACTTCTTGGTGGGAAGGACCTACTTTTGGTTTTAAGGACGCTGTGGTTTCCAGGAGGGGGTGGAGAGAAGGTGTGCTGAAGCTTCAGCCCAGCCCTGACAGGCTGTTGCCAGCCTTGCTCCCTCCCTGCTTCAACTCTGAGACCAACCACAGAAGTGGGAACCCAACTGGAAGCTCACCCAGGAGGACTTTGACCTGTACTAGGAGATCCTCCGTAGGCACCTTGGCCTGGTCAGGACTCTTGCTGCCACTAAGAGGGTCATCTTTCCAAGAGTAACTTTTTGTCTCAGTCCCCTCCAGTTACCAGGCAGCTGGGTACCCTACTATTTTAAACCTTAGTTTGCAAGTAAAAAGATAAAACAAAGATGAAATTGTGTTCATTGAACACAGTAGAAATTGAAACAGCAGGGAGCTGAGGTGTTTTGGGGGCAGAGGAATACTACAATCTTCAACCCACTGAGTGACCACATCAGACCCAGCCACCATAAACTGTAAGAGGATATTTCTGTGTAGTGCCCAGCATGGTTCCAGCTTGGTTCCAATTTGGCTCATCAGAAGTCATCTGAAACATCTTTTGCCTTTTTTTTTTTAGCACCACTGAGAGTCTTAGGGAATAAAAAGGGGATCTTCACTCACCAGAGACAACCAAAAAGTACAGCATTCCTTTTGCGAGAGAGGTACTGGAAACTCGCCAATGAAACCAGGTACCAGCCCTCAGCTGCGAAGTCACTATGTGGGAAACAGCCTGTTTACTAAAGCAAGACCTACCTCTTCACTGACACCAGCTGCCAGCCCATCCTTCCCAAGTGCGGCCCGACTTCTACAGCAGAGAGTGCCTCCTGGACTGTGGGCGACAGACCAGAAAGTTTCCGCTCTGGATTTTGTAGTAATTTGCTAGAAGAGAATATTAGAGGTGAAAATAAAGGCTTTTGCAGTATGGGAATTAAGAGCTGGCTCAAAAGTGACGACCCCCAAATTGAATGATCTGTACTGCTGGAGAACATCTGAAATTACTTTTATGTGTCAAGCTGTTTACATAGCCTTAACCGTGTATGGCTTCTGAGAAACTTTTGCCTCAGCACTCACACCACGCTCAGAGTGGCTGAGTACAGATGGTGTATGTCCACAGGAATAGCCTTGCAGCCTAGGGCCACCCTCAGGAGCCAAACCAGGCCAGCCCTGACCGAGTGAGAGCGAGACTCAACAGGTGAGACAAAGGCCCAACAAATTTACAGGAAGCGACGTGCTGGGATGACGACCCAGGTCTGAGCACTGGTTTCCACAGTCAAGGGGTGAGCGGTGTCTGAACTGGGGAGGAGCCCAGAGGGTACCAGTTCTTCCAGGGCGTTGTTCCATCCTCAGCCAGAGTCTCATCTGCACAGAAGTGGAGGTGGGCCTAAAAGCCCTTTGACCTTGTTGTAACTGATTCCACTGATGGCGAGGAGACCTCTTTAATTAGTCTGGGCCTGTGGACAAGTACAGCTGACCCTTGACCACCACAGGTTTGAACTGCACGAGTCCACTTTATATCGATCGACCCGGCAGTTCCAACCCGTGTTGCCCAAGGGTCGGCTCCACACTCAGGATCGCACACGCAGGGAGGGGCTGACTGCAGTTAGATGAGGATCTCCCACAGCGCGGGAGGTTGGCACCCCAAACCGAGTTGTTCACGGGTTGACTGTATTCCCAGCTCCCAAAGGGTGGTCTTTCTTTACGGAATCATTTCTCCTCTTCACAGACTCCATTGCAGCAAGTAAGGGACATTATTCCTAAAATCTCAATATTTGCCTATCCCAATTTAAGGCTGAATGCTTTGGAAAAATACTAATTGGTCCAATCAAATGGATGACTGTGAACCCATACAGTTCTTAATGCATACCTCGGTTCACTGCCCTTGTGTTGACTGCGTGTGGGAACACACGCCCCGTTAGCCTCCCCTTCCAGGTGCCAGGGCAGAGACAGTGAGGGCCAGTGGACCTCACTCTAGGGGCCATCTTTAGACCTCTTTTCAGAAATGGGAGTAGTCAATTCAAATCATTAAGGATTCTAGGGGTTACATATTTCTATTTGCCACTAAATTTCCTTACATCATTTTGTGTTTTGGTTCAGTGTCAAATAATAATATGTAAAAAAAACTCTTTACTTGGCAAACATTAAAAAGTACACATAGCAGATACACTGTTTTACAAATTAGGGGTAAGGCCCATTTCCTGATTTTTATAAATACCGTAGAATGGAGTTTGTAGCTTTATTGGACATTGACTTTTTTCCTGTCAGCCATACTACATATTTAAACTTCAATAAATGTTCATCTATAAAGCACATTTCCTACCATTGTTATCAGAATACCTACAAACAAGCACTGTCCTCACCTTCCACCCGCGGGCCTTGCGTTTGCTGCCCTGCTGCCGGACGGGCCCATCAGGTCTCACCCTCTGGATTTTTAATTCAACCCAAGCAATCAATGTAACCAAGTGTCTCTGGAATTAGAGATTGTTTTTTTGCACATGGGTCGTTTTCCACACAGTAATACCCACTATAAAAAAGCCTCTTCTCGTATTCTATGTTTTAACTTCCAGAGTTTGCCACTAAACAGTAGTACTTGGGAATCACAGCTGAGGAGTATGTCACTCTATTACTACAATGTTTTACATTTTTAAAAATGGATTGACTTAAAAAAATTTTTAAGTTAATTCTGATAATAAAATAGTTAATAACCAATTTGCTTGTTTTTTAAAATAGAACAGTCTATTCAATTTAACATGTAAATACAATCTCAGTGCTACTAGAGACCGATTAGTCTTTTTAAAGACCCACAAACCTCAAGCTGAGAGGGAGTGTCCTGGTCTCACCTCTGAAGAATGATGGAGAGATGGTCAGCTCTGTGATCTTCCTTTCCCCAAATATTCGTACACACCCTGGTAAGAATGATGGCTCTGGGAATTTCAGGGGTGACCTCCCCCGGGACTGCTCAGACGAGGACAAGAGGCTGATTCACACGAAGCTGTATTCTCTGATACACGGTGCAAGAAATATCTACCCACTTACGGCAGGAGGGTCAGGATCCCCAGCACAGTGCCTGGCTGGTAGAAAGTGTTTACTAGCAAGTGAAGCATGGCTGCTTTGTGAGCCTGGTGTTGCGCCCTTTTGTATCAAAGGAATAAAAAATAACAAACCTGGTATTTGTTGCCCAACTATCATTTTTCTGTCCTTAAGAAAAATGAAGACAAAACAGTAATGAATTAGCTCTTTAAGACTTTTTTTGTTTCGTAAAAGCCAGAACAGACCCTCACCCTTTTACATTTGCCTTCCAACCCTGCCCTTCACCACCGATTCTCCCCTAGAGCTATTTCTGCTTTCACAGTTTAAGACTATTTACTGCTTAGACTGTCCACTTTCTAATGGGACACAGGGACATTATTTTCGTTAGTGGGATGCCTCCGTATCACAGGTAGATGTGCTGTTTTCGAGTATGCCTGCAGGCAGGTATTTAGATAAATTCTGGATACACTTCAATTCTCGGATCCAGGTGTTTTTGTCTCGCCCAGTCTAGGTGTCCCGTTCACTTGCGATGCCTTCTCACCATCGCTTCTGTCAGCTCTAAGGCTCATTTTATTTTGAGGATTTTAGTCATTCTTCATCTTCCATTTTCTGAAGTGAATATCCAAACTGGATGAAAGGAAACAGGTAAATTTTGAACTTGGTTTTCAGACTTTGTAATTTCTAGGTTGCCTTTTAATGTAGAAAGGAATGTATCCTTGCAAAAAGCATGTCAATGTTCAACACAAATAATATAGCTGTAAGGCCCATTTCTTAAACCCTAAGGTTCTAGCACCAGACACATTGTTCTCGTCAATAAAACATGGCTATTTCAAATGGAGTCATCTTTCTGACAGTTGTTACTTTTTAAGAAAACTAAAAATGGAGTACACAAGGTGAGCTCAAGTAAAGCAGCAGAAAAAGAGCCGATTAAAAAATGCATTCTATGTACAGTCCTCCACTCTACCAGCTGAGCTATCGAAGGGCGCTCTCTGCGGCAGAAAGGAGCTCCTACCCTTTGCAACAGCATGGATGGAACTGGAAAGTATTATGCTGAGTGAAATAAGCCAGGTGTTGAAAGACAAATACCATATGATCTCACCTTTAACAGGAAGCTAAACAACGAAACAAGCAAGCAGAATAAAAACAAAGACACTGAAATAGAGAACAGGGGGACAGTGACCAGAGGGGAGGAGGGAGGGAATTTCAGGGGAAAAAGGGGAAGGATTTACAGGAACTAGTATAAAGGACACATGGACAACAACTAAGGAGGTTGGAAATGGGAGGGAGGTGGAGAGCACTGGGGGGGGGGGGGTGGCTGGGATGGAAGTAAAAAACAGAAAACTGTACTTGAACAATAATTAAATAAATTTAAAAAAATGCATTCTATGTGCCTACAGAATCGAAAGCAGTAACATCTTTTTCATTCATTCTTGACAACCACATACATTATAAGCCTATAGGAATTCCAAGAACTAAAATCTCTAAGAATTCTGCTTGTGTCTTCTGTAAGTTACATATTAATTTGAGAAAAAGAGTCAACTCACTACACCTGTAGAAATGGGTTACAATGAGGTTACTTTCACAACAGTTTATAAGAGTGAATTCACTTCAGCTTCTCTTTTAAAATACAATACTGCAGTATAAGAATGATGGCAGCAACTTCCACAGGTAACTTCTACATTTATTTTATACCAAAAAAGTTATGTGCAACAAATAAACATTCTTACATATTTACATTTTTTTACCAGTTAGCAAAACTGTGTCCTAAATCTCTGATAAAGAATATTCCTATCTATGTTAAAGGGGAATTCTGCCCAGTTAACTCCATTTTAAGTGAACGTTTACTCTGGAGTTTAAAGCACTAGTAATAAATATTTTTGATGGAACATACTATACAGATCATACACCTCATACCTAGGCCATGCTTAATACAGTTTTATAATAAAACATTTCACCTTTCTGGGCTAATTTGTCAAAGACATGTTTAACCAAGTAGCCTGGACCTACCCACGCCCCTTTTGTTTTATTGACGGGTAGTTCTCACAAATGAGGAATCATAAGTGCAGCCTCACCTACCTAAATAGGGATGTTTCACCCATGTCTGCATGTTGGGGGAAAATACACAAGGACAAAGGTTGCCTATTAGGTGCTCCTTCTCAAATGGGTCACCAAAAAACGTAGTGGGTTTCTCGTTGGCATCTGTTAATACTGATTTTTGAGATACGCCAGCATTCCCTGCTGTCAGGCAGTGGTACCAATTTTAGTTATGAAATAATTGCTGAAGGTAACTTTGCACTTTTGCTGATAATCTTAAAAGTAACTATAAATGGAATATAAGCAAACTAAAGCCAACAAATCATTGTAACTTTACTGTCATCTTGGTCCTCTAGCCTACCTAGTAGGTCCAAAGATCTCTCATACCAAAAGATCTCTGTCTCTCCGAATGGCAGTGGTCACTGCTTTCACCATCTTTAAGGTAATAGATTCAAGGAGAGGCTATACACATCAAGGAGGAGTAGTTCCTGGCACCCAGCTAGTTAAACCCGAGTTATTTCACCATAAGTTAACCGTCACTGACAGCAACTAGCTGCGATGAAAAACCAAATTAAATTCTCCAAACCACCTAGATTCCCTAGAATTTATCATCTAACTACAACTTCTCTTATTTCTCCAAATGATGCAACTATCAAGTAAGAGGCTTCATTTGTTACAAATCATATCAAAAAGTAAGAAGCATGGATTTAACGCCAAAAAAAATTCTATTTTCCCTTAATCTTCAATGTTGGTGGCTAGTAATTTTACAATGTTTAAATATTGTCTAAAATAGTCATAACAATCCTCAGATTTTATAACATGGTGTTTCCCCCCCTTGTGGGGTCACGTAGAAGATGTAGAGAGGAGCCTAAATTCATCCGGGGCATGAATACAACTAACACCCACCAGGGTTCTGTTGCTTACGGAGGTACTGGCATTTCAATGCTCTTAGTTCAGGCAGCACGTGTTCATCGCTCAGTGAGAAAGAGGTTATTAATTCTGGGTCATAGGAATGTGGCAACCTTTTTTTATACAACTTTAACAGTGGTGTCTTCCCCCAGGCTTAGAAAAGCAAAGGAAACCATGAAGGGTCTAGCTGAACATTTTTGCATTTTCTCATGGAGTTGAAGACATTTGCAAGAGTGCAACATCAAGACAAGCTTTAACTATACTCTGCTGATTGATACAAAATATGACAAAAAGCCATTTTAAATTGGGACATGAGGAACTTGATTAGCAGAACCAGTGTTACATATACCACAGAAGTCTTAACCGCTGAGCCGTTTCCACTGCAGCTTAGAAAAGAGAACCAGTAAACGGCTTGGCAGAACTGGAAACACTACTACATGACCTCATTGTACAGTTCACTTCAGCATTAGGGCTTATTTCTCCATAAATACGAGACATCCAATCCATGCTTTCTAGAGTTCTTTAACTACAGAAATAAGAACAATACATACATAATAAAACAGGAACTGAAACATTCACATTCATGGGAACACCAGCCTGGACAATATCTGAAGTAAACCCTCATTTACAAAACTGCTTTAAACTCATTAAAGTTCATTACAATTCAGGTTTTATACCTGCCTTGGGCTAAAGAACACATTGCATCAATTAATGACAGTTAGTTGGAAACAGCTGCTGACTTTACACATACGGTTTACAGAGCAGGGCCTGTCCCCTCCCTTCAAAGAGGCAAATAAAGCACTTAAATTACTGGTCTATTTTTAACATAATGATTGACTGAATTGGAAGCAAAGTTTTCACTACTGCCTCTCAATCTAAGGAATTGAATGATCATACAGAACCTTTCTATAGAATGCAAGTTGTCTACTTTATGCTAAGAAAGGAAGGAAGGAAGGACACTTCTGCCCAGTTCAACACACAAATTATTTGGTTTAAGATTTAAGAGAGAAGGCACTTTTAACATTCTGATATAAGATGTTCACCGTAGAAACAGACCGTCACAATTTCATTTGGGTTTATTCAAATCACTTTAAAAAAATCTGCATTTGTGCAGCTACTAGAGAGAGCAGTGACGACATTACTGCACTTCGCCCTCAGGTATGTCTACCTGTATAGTACTCCCAATTAAACAGACTAAGCAGCATGGCAGCGATAAAGTTTACAAATCCAATATTTGACTCTAAAACGATTAAACTAGACATTCGATTAGTTAGTGCAAAAAGTAACAGGGAAAACACCACAGAGCTACCCAGGGCAACCCTACTCTGGAGTGACTGGGCTTATACTGGTTATTTCAAAGCTGTAATACTGTTTGGTTGAGTGGCACCAATGTTAAGGAAAAATATGAATGAAAAGTCAACTCTTGTAAGAGACTTTATCTTAAAATCCTATATTAATATTTCCAGCTTTTTTCCAAAGAAATATACCCATTTTCCCATCTTTAGTGTCCTGAAGGCCTTGGACTTGATGGTTTGGTCACATGACTTAAGGTAGAACTGATCCAGTTTTATGATTGGACACAAGTTTGACTTGAATATCCAAACAGTTTCTTCCTTTCAGAGGAAGGAGATGAAAGGGAACCACCTACCCTACTATTTTTGCTGTCCATGCTGGACCCACAGCTACCAGTACTTTTCATAAGATGCTCTGTACGGACTTACTACTTCCGCGTTCTCTTCGTCAGTGGTGAGCTGACAATTCTGCATTGCTATGCTTCAACTAAACTGTACAGTAAGTTTTGCAGGGATGGATCCAATATTTCTACCTTTATTTACAAATATCACAGAAATGAATTCTAGTTGAGTCTACATTTTTAAATTCATCAGCTAAAAACATACTACATATTGTAAACATGGCAATACTAAGACAGTATCTATTCTAAAATATTTCCATGTCATGATCACATTTGTTTAGACCTGAAATTGAATTTTTACACAGTGGGAAATTACTAGCAATGGTTGCTCACTTTACAATTGAGGGCTACCATTTAATTATTTCAGAAACATCTTCAAAGTAAAGTTAAAGCTTGTCTTTGATTGGCTCGGCGTATTTCTTTTGTATCCATATTTAAAATGAAGTTTGACACAGAAAATACCCTTCTAATTTACAAGATTTTAAAAAATCAGTTTAAGATTCT